CATAGTCATTATACATTCAGTTATGTTGAATGGAAACAAGCATGCAGATGTGTCGTAAAACAGTATCAAATATCTTTGAGCTGCTACCTTTCAGCTATGTTACACACAACTGCAAGTTTGCTTTCGAGATGTGAACAACACAAGTTAAATTTCATCAATTGGCTCAATAGAACGAGAGATATAGAACTGTTCCCCCCTTTTTTAGAGTGTAAATTTATGGTCCAATACAAGAAAAATGGTTTTATTTAACACAAAATAGATGAAAAGATCACAACAATAACATGCAAAAACAGAAGTTTCATAACCTAAGTGATCTCTATGCCTGCAGTACACCAATCATATTATGATTGGTAGTGCAAACAATATTTTTATAGAAAAACTGGGATATCGTCCTTTGTTTATTAAGAATCGGCTATGCAAAACTCAAAATAGACTTGAAGAAACCTTAGTAACAAAAAATGTGGAGTCCATCAATTTCACAAAATGTAGAAAAATAATTCTTGAGAAAATAAGTCAAGTCCTACAAAAGCCATACACATACGACAATATAATGCAAAATCTCATACCTGTGACGGTGAAGAACTTTAGCTACTGGTTCTAAAGATGTCTGGTCTATTCACAAGTCACAACCCCCAAACAATTTCGATGTAAAATTCCAGCTTTTTCCATTCTATACAAATTTTGCAGTATATAGCTTCCCATACAGTTGATGAACTAATTGAATGTATGGAAAATTTACTACATGAAGAGACATTTGATAGTGTTTTTCTCACATTAAGACCTGAAAGAATTGACTATTTTGGTAGAAAGAGAAAATTCTATAAGATTCCTCATATTAATAAGGTCAAGCTTTGTAAGGAAAGCTATGCTTATGAGGAGGAAAAAGATCAGTATGACTGATATTTACATTTTTGCAGCCAATTACAATTTTTACATTTGAAATGACGGTTGTTGATGATGTTGCCAAAACTAGACTTGGGGAAAATTTTGGTTTCTTTTTTTCTTTTTTTTAGTTTTTGTCATTAAAAAAGGGGCTATTTCTGCAAAATCACCAAACATGATGTGATAAATTTCGACTTTGGCTATTTTTTGTAATAGCAACACTTTCGTATGAACCCTTGGGTTTTGGTTCTTACCATTCTTTTCAATTGCTGTTTTAAGTTGCATGTGCATGGTATGGTCTTGTATTTTGAACTTGCTATTATTTTGCTGTGGGTACCATAATTTGAGTATGTCTGAAGTGACTTAGAGGATTAATGATGGGTTGGATTATAATGAAATTGGTGAATTTGAGGTTTTTTATGGGTTGGATGATGGACGAAATACGTTTGATTTTTGCATGAAAGTTTGTTTAAGTGCTGATAGATATGAATGAACCGAAACAAAGAAAAGTTTATTTGAATTGGCTACCTGGAGGATGGAGGAGATGTTGGTGGGAAGCCTAAACGTATGCACGTGGAAAAAAAATTGACGTTGAATTCAATATTAAAAACTTGACGTTTCATTTATTTATTTGTCTCAGTGTGTTAAATTTTGTTAAAAGACTTGTTTAATGCTTTTATGTTAGAAAATATGTATTTTTGGTTATTTATTCCTCACTGTTTGTGTATTTTTGTTTATTTGTTCATCTCTGTGTGTTAAGACAGCGTAGAATTTTTTGTGGATAGCATGATAGTTTTAACTTTGGTTTAGCTTCCGGATTTTGTTCAAGTGAAAATAGATCGATGTGTACATGGACAAAGTTAAGGCAATGCGCAATGCCTAATTTGTGCAATTCTTCAATTTTTTTTTTTTTTTTTAGTTAAAATAGGTCGATGTGTACATGGTCGCTGAGTTTGTGTAAGTCTTCTTATTTTGGTTTCGTGTAGCAGCCATCTTGAAATTGGTGCCGATCCTTCCTGGTGCCGATCTTGGCAGCAAACAAGAAACGATTCACCAAGGGGTACCGCAGGGTAAATTTTTATCGGCTCGATATTTATTTGTTTGCTTTATTAACCATTAGCCCAAAGGGTTAATTTCATTTTGGCATTTTACGACGGAAACTTTAAAAGTCTGGACTACCTTTCAATTTGTTGCCATGAAATATTATCAGTCTGTATTATATTTAAAGAAATTAAATAACGAAAAATCTGCATAAATGTGTGTATGTTTCTCGCACTGTGATAAACAATGCGAGAATCTAGAGCCTACAGCCTAGCAGTATCTAGAGCCATCAAATTTTGAATAATGTACATGTCCCCCCAAATATGGGCATCTGGAAGACCGAATTTTGAATCTTTTTATTATCTATGTCATATTTTGTAAAGCATTTATGAGTTTTTGATTAAAAAACTCAATGATTTCAAAGCAAGCAATGGCAACAATGTACAGGAAAAGAAAAAAAAAATTTTTTTAATTCCAGCAATGAGACTGTGTATCGGAAATTCTAAAGATATGCTCTTTTAAAATTATTTTGCGATATTGCTGTTGATTTAAATTTTATGGTTTAAATGTGAAAAACATGATATTTAATAAAAAACACAAAAAGTTTAAAAAAATATCTTTTGGGGCATAATATCAGAAGACCTTCAGTTTTTTTTTTTTTTTTTGTGTGTGTGTGTGTGTTAATACTTTCTCTTTATAGATAGACAATTTCTTTTTTAGTTACAAAGTTCCAAGACCTGTTATTGGCATGTCAAGAATTCCCAAGAAATGGTCAACTGAAAATCTTTCATTCTCAAATACCTCTCGGACACTTTCTTCACTATCAGTAGCAACATTTTCTGGGTTTAAAACCATACTACAGATTTTGCCAGGCGTTAGTTGACTGGAGATCAGGGCACTGTCATCGGAATGAAAAACTTGTAATATCATTTTTATTTATTACCATTTCTCCACACCTTTTGATAAAATCCACTACTTAGTAAATTTCACTTGTTTGAAATATCTGAAAACTTTCAAATTCGTGGCTATGATCATAAAACTTCACTAGCATTCACTATACACTGTTGGCAATGTATCATTAGATTTGTGACTAAAGACATGTTGTTTCACTAAATTTTGTCATGCTTCTATTGCATGCTGATGAAGTTTAGCCAAATTACATCAGTTTAGTTACTTATTATCCTACACCTATTTCCTGCACATACTGATAAATAATTTCTCCCATACACTTAAGTCTTCTCCAGGGAATGTCCTAGACAATTTGTGGTCCAATGCCAATGCTTGTGGGATTCTCCACATATTTTAGGGTAAAGTGCAGAATCGCCCACTGCTTGGCGCGTTTTTAAGAATTGCACATACTCGGTATCCATGTACCATCGACCTATTTTCACTTTAAAAAAATCATCCCAGAATTGCACAAAAATGGCATTGTGCACTTCCTTGACTTTATCCATGTGCACATTGACCTATTTCCACTTAAAAAGTCAAAGAAAATTGACAAAAATCCAATTCTTCTTACTCTTGTAAAAAGCACCAAACAAACGCCAATCAAATAAGTGGGCGATGCACTTTATTTTATTACGAAAAAATATCAAATACACAAGCAAACAAAAAAAATTCTCATAAAAAAAGGGTTCCCAATGATCCAGAGGTCTAAATTGTAGATTATACCACATACTAGACATCTAGATTTCCAACTTTGCACTGTAGCATCACTTAATACATATTAGCTATTTAGCTATAGTTTTTAAATGCAAAAATTAAGGAAAGTCATACCTTATTATATTTTTTAAATACTATATTCATCTTTGTTAAAAGGGCATTTTTTTGTTAAGAAGGAAAAAATTTCGTCTTTCACTAGGTAATCTAAATCGCACAAAATAAACTACATCTTATCGTACAGAAGTCACACTTCTTCTAATTTTATTTTTTCAGAACAAGTATAAAACTTTCTCAAATGTACGTAGAGGAAACAGAGATCGCATTCAAAGTTAGATTTTTTATTTGTCAAAAATTAATTTTTTTTAGAGCTAATCGTTTATGAGTTATGCAAGATACATACATACATGTGTAATACTACAGACACCATAAAAAAAACCCTTTTGAATCCATTTTAGGAAAAAAATCCCTTTTGAATCCATTTTAGGAAAAAAAAGTCTTTATTCTATCCAAATGTACAGACGTCATGCAAAGAAACTCTCCAAATGCATTCGGGAACAGTCACAATGGAGACTTCTGTAAAAATATACTAATCAAAATTTTTTTTGTGATTACAATACTTCCTTTACTTTGTACAATGAAGTAAAAAAAGAGACAGTTTTCAGTGATTTGTGTTAACACATATGCATAATATACAAAGCTTATGATATCATAATATGTACATGAAATAAATTATAGTCAAACAAAATCAAAAATTCATATACAAATCTCAGCAAATTGTATATTAATTCTTAAATTTTTCTTTTCATGCTTTAGCCGAGAAACAACCAAGAACAATTTTAAATGGGTTATGGCAGAACGAGTAAATCTAAATACATTATGAAAATTAACTCTAAAAATTCAAACTCTTTTTCCTCTGAGTGTAGCCTGATTTATCCAAACTTGCTATATTGTTCAGCATCTGAAAGTGTACTTATTACTGCTGATAATATAAACGAATGTCGGGTAAATTTCTTACTGAGTGTTTTCAAGAATAATATTGAACTTAAATTCATATCCAAATTGGTACCCCATTTCCATAACCTCCATAAAATATCAGAACATTTTCCACGAAAAATAACGCAAATTGTGCTAAATATCTCTAACAACGTACACTTTCCGGAGGAAAAAAACCGAAATAATCACTAACTACTATATCGCTTAGAGAATTAAATATTAACTGCATAAGCCGCATGTTTCTAACACATGAGCTATATGTAAACTTACTACCAAAACAATTCATTTTCTGCAAATCTTCTTAATAAACAGGACACGGAGGATAACAGAGTTTTTAAAGCGTTAAACGAAATAACTCTAAACGAGAGACTTTAAAAAATTACACGAATGGATAATAAAAATAAGCAAACATTAATATGTACCTGTGAAGATAGAATATCCACTATCCAAACTTGCTGACATGTGATGAAAAATATAAACAGCTGGCAATAATAACACTGTAATATCCCAAAGCGCACTAATTAATATACTTGAAGATACTTTTTCTTTAAAGAAACACGCTGATCATGTTTACAACATTAGAAATCCATCATACAGCACACTACATATCACACTTTTGAAGCCATATTTAAAGGCACGTACGCGTTCACCAGAACTCACAATATTTGTGCAGACAACGAACAGGTACAAGAGGTTGGAAGGTGGAATTGCTAGCCTCGTTCACCTACGACTGACTGTTGCTACGGTAATTCATAACCTCGTTCTCAGTGCTATTCTAGCTCATTCAACATGACAATGTTTTAGCAAAAGTTTCATTTGAAAATAAACCCAGAAATATAAGTAAAATACAGTTCAACAAACTTATTACTAAAGTTTTCAGCACATAATTTAATCTTACGAGATCGAGTTGAAAATCACAGTTCAAGAAGAATTATTCTTTGCTAGTAATGAAAAGTTTGAGAAATGAAACAAAATAATAGCTGTATGTTGTTTACCTTTAAATAATACTAACAATAAACTGAAGATAGCTTTGTTTTCCGTTGATTATGTTCAAATTTAGATAAAGGTGACTAGACATAATTTCCCAGGTGTTTATCATGAGTTGATTAATTGCTCATAAGTCTAACTCATAATTAAGGGAAATTTTTTTAAGGTCAACCCTCTAACAAGCGCCACTCAAAAGCATATTGGAAAGGTAATTCAAGTTTTCGAAAGGTTTCTATATGCCTAAAGTAAATGAAAGTGTTGATAGTGCAAATATTTTTTCTGTTGAAGGCTTGTGAGTCGTTTGATGATCTCTTAAGAGGGTTAAAGAAATTAAGAAGTAATTGTGTATTTGCGAACTTGAAAGATTCGGATTGAATAATAACCGGGAATTAAAATTAAAGGCTTAGATTATTAAGAGAAGCTAAGTTAACATTATAGAAATCGAAAAATGTACCAAAACATCTAAAGTTGCTGAATTAGCAGAAGTTGGAAATTTGAATTCTTATAAAAGAAAGTAAAACAGGAGTGGTAAAGCGGAATAAAAGTTTGTATTCGGAACATAAAACTCAGTTATGTAACAAAATATAACATGGTTTCCAAAAAGCCACTAAATGCTAAATCGCCATCAAATTGTCAAGGGTGTTGCGTCTGTTTGTTAAATATTTATTCATTTCAATGTAAGCACGTTAGCTTTACATAAACGGAAATTATATGTTCTTAATACAACTTATAAGTGGCAAATATATTCAATTTCACTCTATTGTTGTTCCTTGGAATGCGGTATTCTCTCAACTTGCTTGGTAGAATAAAAAAAATGCTTTCAAGAAAGTCTTTATTTGAGAATCTTTGACGTGTAATGTTTCCTTATTAAAGCAGCCTGGGGCTCAAATGTAAATAGTTTAATAGCAGAAATTTCTGTCAATGTTTGGATTTCATCTTTCAAAATCAATTCGCTCAGTGAAACAAAACCTTGTAGAAAATGTGGAACTGTCATAATTTAGATACTCCTGCTTATACCTTGTTAGAGAAAAGCATGGTAGCATAAAAGAATTCTACTGTCGCAATATAAAAAGTTTAGATTTGCAAAGGATTTGAACTTTATAAATGGCAATAGAACAATAATGGGAATTTTAGTTCGACATTTTTAACTGTTTTTTCGTTTCTGTTTTAATCTTTAATTTTTAACTTTTAACTGTGTTTCTGTTTGTGTTGGGTGTGCTGTGTTAACCATTAGGCCAATTATTATCGGCCAGAAGGGTTTTAGCACACTCGTATATTTCATTACTCCTGTTTATAATAACATTTGTTTACACTATTAAAGAGAGCACTATGCTGAAACGTGTGCTAATAAAAACTTTTAAACATTGTGCAAAATAACATGGAACATGAGTCACGTAATAATGAATATATTCTAGATCTCTAGAGTATAAGAAACGAAGAACATAATGACTTGACATATAAGCTTACAGCTCCAGCTGGCTACTGGCACTCGATGTAATTATTTCCATTGCCAAAGTTAAACAATTAAATTTAAGGGTAAATGTTGATGAATCAAAAGCCACTTTAAATAATTATAACAGTTTAAGTTGATCTAGCTGTAAAATGTAAGTTCTTATGTGAAGCATTTAAAGGTGACAGACATGAAGTAGAATTTCTAATAATAGCATATGATAAAACTATACCTGCTGTTTTTGGTTTGCCTATATCGCAAAAATTAAATCCAGTGCAAAAGATATGTACAAATCCGAATCTAGTAAATCATTACTAAAATCTCTAAATTGCTCGCTAGAATTATTTAAAGGAATTGGAAAATGAACGTGTTATACCTGCCATGTTAATTTAAATCCAGCATTAGTAAAACGGATCCCCACAGGAAAATTCCCTTTAGTTTATTAAATCTACTAAAAATGTATTGGCAAGAATTGAAAAAGATGGTATTAAAAGTTAGTCAAACTGCAGAATTCGTAAATTCATTTTTATGACAAAGGATGTCCGTTTGCTTAAACCCTCAGTATCTCAACCAAAATATACTAAGAAAACATTATCGCGTACTAGACTTGGAGGATAGTTTATCTCAAATATCCAATACAAAAGTTTTTATTTTAAGTATAAACAAAACGTTTTATAAAATTAAACTATGAGATTCAAGTCATTAGCTGATAATCTGTTTAGTAGATATTGCTTTTTAGGGTTTCCATCTGGACTAAATTCATCCGAGAAGATTTTTATAGAAGTTTTTCTGGAGTGTTTGGTGGTATAGAGAAAATTCAAATTCATGTAGATGACATATAATCTGGACAAAAGAATAAAAAAGGCGAAATTTAAGATTAAGAAAGGGACTGGAAAGACTCAGAGAAAAGAATGTTAAATTTAATTTAAATAAATGCACAACTGGACTGAATAAAATCAAAAATGGGGACTTACATTTCCTAAAGACTGTTTAAAGCCAGGTGAAAACAAAGTTATGGTTATTCTAGATATGAAAGCATCAAAAGATGTTAAGTTTCCTATGAATGATTACATATACGAGTATTTCTGTATTCATATCTAATGTATCAGAACTGATATCATGTTTAAAAAATTTATTGAAAACATAGGGTGTCTGGAATTGGAATGCAATACATGAGAAAACATTTAGAAGGTCAAAAGATGTCTTAATAAATAAATCAGATTTACAGTATTATAATATAAATATTCTTGTAGTTTTATAAGTAGATGTATCTTAAGAAAGACCAGAAACAGTCTTCTGCAGAATAATTTATCAGAAGCCTGGGCCACCCGTAGGTATTTTGCCATCCGGTATTCAGCGAATATTAAATTCCGCTGCCCGTTACCTCCCTAATTCTAAAAATTATTCCCTTCCCAAATTTTGCTGCTCGATGCTCCTTTAAAAGATAAAAATCTTGCTGTCTCCTAAATTCTGCTGCCTGTGCTGCATCAGCTTTGACGCCTGCCCTATCAGGGGCAAATACATTTAAGACATTAACAAATACACACAATAATTAGTCTGAAATTAAAAGGGACTTTTATCTATTATATTTGCAGGGGACAAATTAAAAAATTATACATGTACACTGTGGGAAAAAAAAAAGAGGGACAGTTCTATATCTCCCGCTCTACCGAGCCGATTGACAAAATTCAAATTGCGTTTTTCATGTCTCGAATGCGCGACTTAGGATAGTCGGGAGAGGATATATATATATATATATATTAGGATATATATTAGATATAAATATAGCACTGTTCTAACATTGGTATTTTGACACAAAATCGAACTTTTTCTGAAATAACATACACATTTTTTTCCATATTTCGATTTTACCACTCAAATGGTGCTCCGATATTAAATTTTGTAAAATTTGGTGCGAAATTTACAGAGAAATTCAAAAATTTATCTTGGCGAAATTTTTTCAGTTTGGCCAAGAATAATTCACTTGGCGAACTTCTTAATATATGGCGACCGATTTTCCTTTCCCTTCCATTATGCCGGAGCGGGAAAAAGGGCACCTCGTTGCTACCTTTTTACATTGTAAGAAAGTCACATTAGTCTACTTCCAAATAATTTTAGCAACGTGTTTAAACCATATCTGATGTTTTATCGCTTGCAACAAATATGCCAAATTTCAAAACGCGCCAATATATAAATTCACGTATATCTTCGGAAATTTTGTATAAAAAATTGTAATTTTTTGCAGGTATGCTTAGAAATACGTCTATTTTAAGATGATGGTAAACATTTTATAGCTTATAATTCAAATTTTTGTTTTGAAAAATTTATAAAAATTATTTAAAAATACAAATTTTAAAAACAAATCATAAATATGGGTGAATTTTATTTGGAATGAACCTGAATTTCGAAATGTGAAAGGAAGAATCAAATAAGCTTAATATAAAAAGAGAGATCAATGAATATATACCAAACTCAATTAACATTAAGGAGCTAAAATTTTGAGAGCTAATTTTTTAAAAACTACTCGTGCAATTTTTACAAAACTTGGTAGTTTGGCGTAATTTCAGTCGTAGAATTGAAATATAGAAAAAAAATTGGTATATTATTTCAAAAAAAGTCCGATTTTGTGTCAAAATACCGATATTAGAACAATGCTATATATAAATCTAATACATATCCTAAGTCATACTTTCGAGACATGAAAAACGCAAGTTGAATTTCGTCAATCGGCCCAGTAGAACCGGAGATATAGAACTTTCCTCCCGCCTTTTTTTTTGCGCAGTGTACATTTTTTAAGCTGTATATCTGTATGACATTGTTTTTGCTGTGGAAGGTGACCACAACTTTCTGAAAACAGTTTTAAAGAAAATTTTAAACAAATGTCCAATCAGACTACGAAGAATGCTTATAAGATTACAGCCATATCAGTTCGAGATAAAAACAGAAACCCAAGTAAGAATTCTTTGTAGCTGATGCATTATCAAGATCATTTGCTAATAAAAGAACTGATTTCTTTCAAGGAGGCATCTAAGGTCACGTTGCATTGATTGGAGAAAGCATACCAGTTTCTAAAAGCAAAATGGAAAACTTCAACTAGCAACAGAAAGACGATGAACTACAAGTTTTAAGAAACTGAATTAAGACTGGATGGCCAGATACAAAATTTATGGTTACGAAGCTGACAAAACCGTATTGTAACTTCAGAAAAGAACTATCAAAAGCATATGGATTAATATTAAAAA